GAAGAATCCCAACTAATAATGTAGAATGAATGAGGGAAACAGAAAACCATCTTTAGAATAACAGAGTAATAGTTGCTTCAGGCAAGATCCATTGATGACTGCCAAAATTAGTGGGAAAACTTTAAGGAGAAACAGAACATTTGGACAGTTTCAGAATATCTGATCCCTCAAACATTTAATAACTATTGTGGTGGTTTTACATATGAACACAGATTATTTGATATTCTGCCCTGCAGGAGGTGAAGTCTAACACCCCTCTCCTTGAGGCAGGCTGGCTGAACCTCGAACAGTGTTAAGGAGAAATAGTAACTTCACAGGGTAGAAACCCAGAAGCCATCACCTAAACCCAGAGATTCAGGCAGCATTATCAGTGACATGTCACGGTGATATAAGAAAGGTGCTATACCGCTGTGGTATTCACCCAGCCACCCCCTTAAAATCTATGACATAAGTCTAATCATTAGAAGACATTAGAAAATCTCTGAGGGACATTCTACAAAATATCCAACTGCTACTCTTTTCCTTTTAATTTTAAAAAGTGATTACAGGTTTTTCTATTAGATCCTAGTTTAGGGCTTCCCTGATAGCTCAGCTGGTAAAGAATCTGCCAGCAGTGCAGGAGACCCCAGTTTGATTCCTGGGTGGGGAAGATCCCCTGGAGAAGGGATAGGCTACTCACTCCAGTATCCTGGCCTGGAGAATCCCATGGACTGTATAATTCATGGGGTGCAAAGAGTTGGACACAACTGAGAGATTTTCACTTTTGTTGACATTGACTTCTATTATTTTTCTGTTGACCACTCATGATACAATGGTATTAGGTGAGTAATAGTTATATAATCACAATAAGTAAAAGATGTTTATCAGTTTTCACAGTCAATAGCAGACAAACAATAAGAGATAATTACAACTGCAAGCCATAATGGGAATATGATTAACTTAACAATATAAAATAATTACATACAATTTGGGGGGGGGGGTCAAGCAGAGTGATGTGGTAAGTGGAAGTGTATAAATGCACATGTTTTCATCTACCCAGCCAGTCTATGTCTTTTGGTTGGTGCATTTAATCCATTTACATTTAAGGTAATAATCAATATGTATGATCCCATTACCGTTTTCTTATTTGTTTGGGTTTATTTTCTGTAGGCCTTTTCCTTCTCTTGTGTTTCCTGCTTAGAGAAGTTCCTTTAGCACTTGTTGTAAAGTTGGTTTGGTGGTGCTGGATTCTCTTAACTTTTGCTTGTCTGGAAAGCTTTTGATTGCTCCATCAAATCTGAAGGACAGTCTCGCTGGGTAGAGTATTCTTGGTTTTACATTCTTCCCTTTCATCACTTTAAATACATCTCGCCATTCCCTTCTGGCTTGTAGAGTTTCTGTTGAGGAATCAGCTAATAGCCTGATAGGAGTTCCCTTGTATGTTATTTGTCATTTTTCCCCTGTTGCTTTTTTAATATTTTATCTCTGTTTTTAATTTTTGTCAGTTTGATTACCATGTGTCTCAGTGTGTCCCTTCTTGGGACTCCTCGGTGCTTTCTGGACTTAGTTGACTATTTCCTTTCCCATGTTTTAGAAGTTCTCAGCAATTGTCTCTTCAAATATTTTCTCGGGTCCATTCTCTCTTCTCCTTCTGGGACCCTTATAATGTGAATGTTGGTATGTTTAATGTTGTTCCAGAGGTCTCTTAGGCTGTCTTTATTTCTTTTCATTCTTTTTTATACCTTCTGTTCTGTGGCAGCAATTTACACCATTCTGTCCCCCAGGTCATTTATCTGTTCTGCCTCAGTTATTCTGCTATTGATTCCTTCTAGTGTATTATTCATCTCAGTTTGTTCTTTAGTTCTTCCAGGTCTTCGGTAAACATTTCTTGCATCTTCTCAATCTTTGCCTCCATTCTTTTCCTGAGATCCTGGATCATCTTCACTGTCATTATTCTGAATTATTTTTTTGGAAGGTTGCCTATTTCCACTTAATTCAGTTGTTTTTCTGGGGCTGTATCTTATTCCTTCATCTGGGACATAAATTTCTGCTTTTTCATTGTGATTAACTTTCTGTAATATGGTTGTTGTTTTAGCTGCTCTGAGACTGTGCTTCTTCTTGCTTCTTCTGTCTGCCCTCTGATGGATGAGCCTAAGTAAGGCTTGTGTAAGCTTCTTGATGGAAGGGACAGGCATGGGAAAAACTGGGTCTTGCTCCGGTGGGCAGGGCCTTGCTCAGTAAAGCTTTAATCCAATTATCTGCTGATGTGTCGGTTTGCACTCCATCCCTTGCAGTTGTTTGGCCTGAGGCGACTCAGCTCTGGGGTCTGTGATCACTTCTTAAAACCCAGATGCATATCAGAATTATCTTGAAATTTTTCGAAAAATACAAATGCTCAGGTATTGCTTTTCTCTCCAGGGCTCCAGATTTCTAATGGGCAGTCATATTTAAAAACAACTAGACTATATGATGATCTTTTACTTTTATCTAGTTTGTTTCACTTTTTCTATTTCATATTAAGTGCTCCTATTTCATTTAGTTTATGTTCTCCAATTTATCAATCTTTTTTTTTTTATGTTCCTTCTCAATTTTTATCAAATGTAGTATAAAAGCTTTTGTGTGTGTGTGTGTGTGTATATATATATATATGTAAATACATATACATATTTTAGAAAACTTAAGAATTTTTGCCTAACTAAAAAAATTATATTTTGATTCTACTTGTTTGACTTAGTATGACTAGAATGCTAGATTTTTAATTAAAAAATATATATTCAATAAGCAACAAAGGTTTACTGTATAGCATAGGGAACTATAGTCAATATCTTGTAATAACCTATGATGGAAAATAATTTCAAAAATAATATATGTGTATTTGTATAACTGAATCACCCTGCTGTGCATCTGAAACACTGTAAGTCAACCATACTTCAATAAAACATACATATTTTTTTAAAAATCACAAATTAAAAGCAAACTGTATATGAAATAAACAACGATGTCCTACTGTATTGCACATGGAATTACGTTCAATATTTTATAATAAGCTACAAGGGAAAAGAATCTTAAAAAGAATATATATATATGTATAACTGAATCACTGTGCTGTATATGTGAAACTAATACATTATAAACCAATTATATTAATTTTTTAAAAATAAATTACATGGCATATATATGCACTCTTTTTTATTTTTGTCAAAAATAAATAATTTGTAAAATGAAAGAATAAAGCAAAGTTGAGCCTGGGAAAAAAGTGTTGTTCTCAGTCCAGATAAACAATAAAGCAGGAATCTCCGTGTTCTTTTGAGATAATTCATCTCGATGGAGAAGGATGTCATTTTTTGCTTCTGTAGACCCACAGATTCAGAGAAGGAAATGGCAACCCGCTCCAGTCTTCTTGCCTGGAGAATCCTGTGGATGGAGGGGCCTGGTGGGCTGCTGTCCATGGGGTTGCACAGAGTCAGACACGACTGAATCAACTTAGCACGCATGCATACATTGGAGAAGGAAATGGCAACCCGCTCTAGTGTTCTTGCCTGGAGAACCCCACGGACAGAAGAGCCTGGTGGGCTGCCGTCTGTGGGGTCGCACGAAGTCGGGCACGACTGAAGCGACTCAGCAGCAGCAGACCCACAAATTACCAGGACACCCACACACCTGACTTCCCTCGGTTGTGACGCAGGTCCAGTGTGCTCCCTGAGCCCAGCCTCTCCTCCCCCAAACCTCCTTATCACACGGCTGTGATTTCAGAACCCAAGAAGACAATAGGTCTCTAGAAACTGAAAAATAGCTTGTACATGACAGGACACATCTCATGTGGCAAAATTTAACAGGGGAGAACAATTTAAAATGAGCTGTACACTCTGGATGAGAAATGATGTGCAGGTTCCAAGTCAAACTACAATCGCCATCTGAACAAGAATGCGGTGTGTATACCTGACATGAGAACGCTTGTTCACACAGATACATGGGCTGTGCACCATCTCACACACATGCATGCTGACGGCCCTAGGAGCGTTCCTATGTGCCAAGTGCTGGGCGCCCTGGGAGGCAGGACCGTGCTGACTCTCCCTCCCCGGACAGACAGGCCACTGGGAGAGGGTCAGCCGTGGCCCAGACATGTGCTCTCGCCCAGGCTTGTGACTTGCTGAGTCCCCAAGGGCTAGTCTTCATTTTCTCCCTACTTTCCCGGGACCTGCCCCTAGCTAGGGCTCCCACGGTCACCCCAGCTCCCCGTCTCGGGACAAAGGCCTGTTTACTCACATGACATTCTCCTGAACTCATCCATTCTTCATACTTATTCATCTAAAAAGATGCTTATTTTTAATGTAAACACACAGATTTATATTGGCAGCTTCTTCACTTAAAGATATGCTGGAATTTCCACTGAAACTTTTTATTATTCAAAGTTTGCTAGCGCAGGCATAAAAATTTCCTCAGGCAAAAGAGGTCTAATCTTCTCTACAAACATTGTGGAACCACTTTTTAAATACAAGAAAGTCAGATAATTTCTTCTTTACTCTTGAAACTTAAAACTAGACTTTTGGGGTTTTTTTAAGAAAAAAATCAGGGCACCAATCTGTTCTTTAGATGAAATGTCTCTCCTATAAAAAAATGTAAAAACTTGCTGTCTCATCAAAATAAGCCGTCAAGGAAGCTTCGATATGAGAAAGTTCCTCTAAATTAGGATTGTAGCCTAAAGAACCAGAAGACTAATGAAACTCTAGGACTCACAGGAAACAAAGCCGAGAACGGTAATGTTTACATCTGCACAGATTTTAAAATGTACAGACCACTTGCACACAGTCTTGGCTGACCTCTGGAAAAACCCTGAAAACTGGATGTTATCTCCTCTCCACAGACAGAAGGCTCAGATACACTGCTGTTGTTGTTCAGTCACTAAGATATACTAGCAGACAGGTATAGCTTCAAAACTTGAACATATCAGACCAAAGTGGAAACCAGGTCTCTTGACTCGAAATTATTTTAAAATAACAGTTAAGAAACATATAAGGATTTCCCTGGTGGTCCAGTGGCTAGAACTCCACACTTCCAATGTGGGGGTTCCAGGTTCCATCCCTGATCAGGGAACTAGATCCCACATGCTACAACTGAGAGCTCACAAGCCACAACTAAAAGATGCCGTAACAAAGATCCTCCAAGCCAGAATGAAGATCCAGCACAGCTATATAAATAAATATTAAAAAGAAAGGAAAGGAATACACGAAGGAGGCCATGGTTTCTCATCTGTCTGGGCTGTTAAATGTTCAAACAGAAATCTCTGTCAGCCCCTATCTAAAATGGCCAGTGAAGCCCCTGCCTCTTTCCCAAACAAAAACTAAGGACAGACAGACACTCATCTCCCTGTGCTGGGCCAGTGCAAGGCCACCCCATGAAAGGAGGACAGCAGAGGGGAAGAAGAGGACACTCTTACCTGATTGTTGCTAAGGCAGCTATGCTCTGCAAATCTGAGGATACTGCTAGGATGAAAGTCGGGGCTTTGAAAGGGGCCTGATGAGGTTCACTTTCAATTTGCCTCTGAATAACTGAGGATCAGATGCACTGCAGTAACAAAGTTATGGGCTTCCCTGGTGGCTCAGTGTTAAAGAACCTGTCTGCCAATGCAGAAGATGGGGGTTCGATCCCTCGGTTGGGAAGATCCCCTGGAGAAGGGAATGGCTATCCCCTCCGGTATTCTTGCCTGGGAAATTCCATGGACAGAGGAACTTGGCGGGCTACAGTCCAAGGAGTCACAAAGAGTAGGACAGGACTTAGCAACTAAACAACAACATAGTAATAGTATTAGCAGCAGCAGCAACAGTTAGCACTGACAGTAAATCTCTACAACCAAATGCTGAGAGCTTATCATTATGCCTGACCTCTGCTAAGCACGTATGCAATTTACACTAGTAACTGTAATTTTACTATATTAATTGGTGTAATTTTTGTTACCACTCATGCAGACACTTTGATAGGAGCAATACACATAGTCACTGGGCTACAAAACAATCCTACAAAGTTATATGTTTTTCTACTCTTTTATGGATAAGGATGTTGACTTGGACAGGTCGCACAGAGGAGCTGAGATTCAAACTTCATTCTAGCTTATGTTCTTCCTGCTGAACATGAATTCGGAAAGGAAGAGATCACTCCAGGCTAGAGAGCTAAGAAAGGCTTTATGGAGAAGTACGCTGAGCTGGATACTAGGGAATGAGCAGGAGTGAACAGGAAGAGGGTAACCTGCATTGGGGTGGATGGGCTGTGATGATAAAGCAGAAACACGGCACATAAGGTGACTCAGAAGCCAGTGATGAAATGCCTTATAGAGCCCAAGACCACATTCCAAATTGTGTGATTCCCTGATAAAACTGAATTAAGTAAATACACTGTAAGGATCAATTTTTCTCTTTATGACATAAACGTAATCTTGAAAAGGAAAACGCTACATTTCTCTAGATTCCAACTCCTCTATGGAGAGGGTGGGTGTGGACACCCAAGTGCCTCGTCTTCGTCACCCCAAGCCCAAACCCCGTGAGTCCCCACAAAGGCGGTGTTCCCCACTGGAGGCCAGGGCTACAGAGCCCAGCCCCCACAGAGGTGGGGCAGGCAGGAGGACCAGGACGGGTCGCCCCAAGTCGAAGCCTCCAAGTGCTGGTTAAAGCATCTTCCTCAAGGGTTCATGAGAAGCAGTGTCAAAACTGAGCTGCTCATGAGGACAGAAGCACCAAATCCTAACAGGTTTTATTTACTCTGCGTTACTCCACACGGAGAAAGCGTACCTGATGAGAACAGCACAGAAAGCAAAATCTGTGAGCTGAAGGGAAAACAACACACATACAAACACAGTCCTCCTGGGGAAAGCTACCAGCCTGAGGATGCTGTGGGAGGTCGGGGTAGGGGGTTAGCCACACGGCCACCAGGAAGGTGTTTGTTCTGGCTTCTGTGAAGGCCAGATCCCCGTCCGATGTCATGAGATGTCCTTTAGGCCTCTTCCCTCATCCCCACTGCCTATGGTAGAGACAGACAGACAAGGACACTGAGGGAAATCGGAGGGCAGGTCCAGCGAGGGTTACACTGTTTTTCCTATGGCCTCATCCTGCACACCTCCTGGAGCTCTGCTAACATGATGAAGCACTGCAGAAACCATCCCTACAGCCATCTAAATCAAGTCCTCCCTCTGACCTAACCACAGAGTGAGGTAAACTCTCAACGTACAGAGATTATGACCAGATGTTTCACACCAACAGTCACCATCTGTAACACAGCCTAACAGAAAATTTGGGCTGCAACAGAGTTAAGAAGAAACATCAGAATAATAAAACAACCCTCCTGGATGTATGCTGGTCCCAAACCCCGCATACAGTCAGCATCAACTCAGAACACATGCCCTGTGCCCTTAGGCAGGCCACTCCACCTGAAGTGACCTTCTGGGGGTTGTAAACTGCCCCCTAAGGCAGCATATAAAATGTCCATATATGTACATGAAAGTACCAAGTGGAGGGAAGGGCCATGAGTTTCACCACCTCCTACAGTGTTCACGACTCTGCAACATAAACGACTCTAAAACAGCACCCGGTAAATTAAAGACACGAACACTTGTTCTAACTGAACTGCTGCTTCAGAGATTCATGGCGAAGGGGCTCCGCCAGCAGTGGACTTGAAAGGGAGACCGAATGTGGTCACAGTGAAAACTCCACAATCTGATGCATGATATCAAGCAGTAACCACCAGCCCAACCAACCAGTGGTCCACTGTTTTCTTCCTGGTAAACAAACATAGAACTCTCAAAACACTAGATCTAGTAAGCAAGGTCACAGCAGAAAAAAAACCAAAAAAAACCCCCAAAAAACCTGCGGTTCTGAAAGACGAACTGTCCTAACCTCTTGGAGTACAAGAGGACTTAAACCAAGGTTGTGTGTGTGTGCCAAGTCACTTCAGGCATGTCGACTCTTTGCGACCCCATGACTGTAGCCCACCAGGCTCCTTTGTCCGTGGGATTCTCCAGGTAAGAATACCGGAGTGGGTTGCTGTGCCTTCCTCCAGGGAACCCGACCCAGGGATCAAACTGGTGTCTTTTGAATCCTGCACTGCTTTCCTGGCTCTAAAAGCTTCTAAACTTTCAGAAGCGGAAGACAATTCTATGAACTAGGCTTTCAAAACTTTCACTTACACTTGTAATTAACAAACTAATTCAACGAATCCGTGAACAGAAATGTGAATGTGTTGGTGGGAGGGGGAGAGGAATGCTGCTTAAATTACTTTCAACTGACTTGGATTAAAACCAATATAATTAATATTTCCCCAAGGTCCCCAAATGAACCACATGCAAAGCTGGGAAGTGGGTCCAGAATGCCTGACACCCACACAGGCTCCCTCCTCCACCCAGAAAAGGATCTGGGAGGCAGTACACAGCATAGCCTGGGGTGGGCTATCCCTCTTGCCTCATCCAGCAAGAATCTGAAAATCTGGGAAGCTCCTTCCCTGTGGAGAGGGGAGAGCTCCTCCACCAAACACTTGTCGAGTATGGAACATCAGTAATTCTCCAAATTTCAAGTTGCTGGGTCTCGAATCATTGATGCTCACTGCTCTTCAGATAAACCCACCGGCGGACAGGGATGACAGTTGTGCAGTAGGGGGTGTGTGTGTCTACAGGACATTACAGCCTCATCCTGGCAGCACTGATGCTCAGCAAGGCTCCTTCAACCCCTCCCCCTAAACCTATCAGAACCTCTGCGGGGGCATATGTGCTCCCTCCCTCAAAAAAGAGCCAGTATTTTAACTTCATCTTATACTTGAAAAATGAAAACAGAAGCATTACCTTCATAATATAAAAGTTTGAGGATGGCGTGTGACTTAAGTTTTTCAGGAGGAGGCCAGGGTTCCTGTCTACAGCAGAGGTTTAACTGCACTCCAGTGAGACCTCATGCAGACAAACTGTAGTTTTTACTGTACCTCTGGGCTCATGGGAAACAAGTAAAATAGCTGTAGGCTGAACCCAGCAAGTAATAGGATGGATGGGCCGTGACCCCGAGGGTCATCACAGAGACTGCGCAGCTGGGCCAACGGGAAGGCACAGCTGAACCTGAAGTTTCCAAACAATGCCAGGGACCCTGAAAGCCATCCCAGATGACTGCCGCCCAGCACGAGCACATTCTCTCACAAAACGCATCCCAGAGCTGTATATATTGCGATCAACCAGGCGTCAGTTTACGTTTACAAGCAAAGAGAAGCCACTACGAGTAACGGTAACGAGAGACAATAACCATCAGGTTTAGACTCCAGAGAACTTCAGATATTTGAAGTTTCACATGTAGACTATAAAACAGCTTTGTGTGAAATGTTTAAAAATAAAAAAGAAATGAAAAATGAGCAAGCAAAATAAACTAGATTATAGGAAGAACCAGGTAAATTTTTTGAAATGAATATAATGGGTTAAAAAAAATTCATACACTGGTTAAACAGATTATAGACATGGTTGGCAAGAGACACAGTTGTAAAACAAAACTTAATAAATAACCCAGAACAGCAAAAAGAAAGAAGAACATGAAATTATGACAGAAAGGTTAACAGTCTTGGAAGATGAAAGACTGAATATATCTAATCAGAGTTCTAAAAGGAAAGAATTAAGAAAATAGAAGCTAGGCAGTGTTTGAACTGACCCTCCCCAAGAATTCTCTAGAAAGATGTAAACTCACAGATACACAACTTATAATAAATTAACAAGGAAAATAATTAAAAAGAAATGCCTCCTAGACACATGTAGTAACATTGCTGCATGCCAAAGAAAAGATGAGATCTCTAAAGCAGGTGGAGAAAGACAGGCTGATGGCCTGACAGCAGTTTCACAACAGGAGCAAAGGAAACCAGACCGCATCATATTATGGAGCCCAGGCTCTGAGTCAAAACAACTGTCAACCTAAATTTATGCACCCAGTAAATCTACATCTCAAGAACAAAGGTACAAATATATTTTTCAGATATGAACAAAACTGAATTCAAGAGACTTCCCCTAAGGGGAATGGGCATGAACTACTCTGGAAGCTTTCTAACTGACTCTCCCTCTCCAGCCTTCTTGAATATGGTATCAGGCC